ACTCGTTAAAGTGTTCAGACGCAAACAATGCTTTTCCAGCAGTGCACCATGTTGAAATTATTGGGGGTTGCACAATCTTCTTGGAATCGACTCTTAGAGGATAATAATAATGGGCCTCGAACTGCCTGAAGTAATTTGATATGGTCTTTTTTTATTGTGACCAGGGAGTTGGATATACTAGGAGGCTTGCAATGTTACTTTCTCTAATGCAATTCTAACCCCTACCACTAACCCCTACCACTAACCCCTTTCCTAACAGTACTAACAATTTGGATACTCTATTTACATCTACTATTCATATGCAGCCTCGGAGGGATTCTAAGGCCCCCAGGTCTATTCGCTTCTAGCCAAAGCTCTTGCCGAGGATTTCTTGCAAGGCTTACTTTAGGAATGAAACAAGAAGCTGAACCATTTTTTAAAGATTCTCTACAGTTGTTCGCCCGAGGCATAAACCTAGTGCTAGGTGATTTTTGCAACCCCAATATCGATTTGGCAGATATTTTTTTGAGGCAACCCAGAAAATTTGAAACAAATCGCACTATGGATACGATGTGTAAAAGGTCATTTGGCTCGTGGTTCGTCACGCTTCGATTCCGTTTTGTTCCTGCCCGTGGTTCGGGCACACCCTTGCGCTTTTTTTCTTCTCCAGCCCCCACGTCTCCTCCGCGTACAGATACGTGCAGTYCGTCCCGGACAGCTTGGCCGCAAAGGCCGCATAGAAGCCAATGCCGTATACGACGCAGCGGGCCTTCATAGCGATGTACAGATCGACAAAGGTTCCGTAGTAGTCCGGTGGTTTCCGACCCTTTTGCTTGTCGATGTGCGCGTTTTCGAGCGTGGTGTTGCGGGCGACGACGGGGCCATCGCCATCGACCCCAYTGCCGCGGACAACYTCCAGCAGCGGGGGGTARATCCAGCTCTCGTTGGTTCGGTGTCGTTCCACGTACCCGCCGGGGGACGTGTCCACCAGTTCTTCGGCAACGTGGCGGACCAGGTCGTTTGAGTCCGACAAGAAGTAGATCGGAGGCTTCGGCGACGTTGCCACCTCCGTGCCGACGATTTCGCGGGCGCATTCCAGCGCCTTGTGGGCCGTCTCGAGGGCAAAACGCCTCTGCGGGCCTCCCTCGATCCACGGGAGGCCCGTCTTGTCTGCCGGGTACCGATCGTTCTTGCCCTTGACAACCTCCCCAAACTGGTGCGCCTTCGGGTGGCGGACACGGCAGTGAACGGCCGAAAAGTCGACCGTGGGGGGGAGCTTCGAGACCGGGTGCAGCCCCGACGACGACGACGACGACGAAGCAAGCAGATTCATTTCCGACAGCGCTCCCACGATTTCGGTACGAACCTCTTGGGACGGCCGAAAGAACAGGTCCCAGATGGCTCCAAAGCTTGGCGCGCTGTGCAAATCGGATGGCTTCCAGTGCGGCTCGTCCTTGTAGTAGCCCTCGCGTTCSAGACGTTCCTCCAGGACGTGCTCGTCGAGGTGCCCCAGCAGCCTGTGCCGAAGGATCTTGGCCATGGTGTATCTGTGGTCCTTCCGAAAGACTTCCGTTGTGTTCGTGCTATCCGAGAAGTAAGAGGTGATTGCCCCCGGGCTCGRTGGGGCACCSGCCCGGACCATGGCCCGTTCGAAGCCGACGTTCCAAAAGTTTTTCTCTCCTGGATTCGCCTCGAGCTGATCGTCGAAGAGCTCCTTCACCTTGCTGCGAACGATCCTGATGTCCTTGAAGCCAAARTTAACGCAATTTTGGTCCTCGAACATATCGCAGTCGGGGACCCTCCAGTCCAATGCCGCCGCTTGGTGGCTGTTCTCGATGTCATCGCCGTCGTCGTTAATGGGAGGCACCAAAAAGTGCTCCAGCTCCCGGGGCCGTTGCCAGGCTATCAGCAGGACGCGTTTGGTCCGCATCGCTAGGTACAGATCCCACGGGAGCTGTCCGAGACGGTCGTGGAGGCCGCCGCAGATGCCAAGGCAGGTCCTAACGAGCAGCTTTGGAGTATCCTTTCCCTTCGACGTGAAGAGTGTCTTGCCAGGGTACTTRGCACGCATTTCCGTGTGCCACTTGACGTAGTCCGTGATCCATTTCGGAAGGTCCAACTGTTGTTGTGTTGTGGCGGCARAAKCTGCGTTAGTCGTGGCGGTCGTGTTGGAGGCCCCGGACGGRTTCATCTTGGGCAACGCGTGTTGAKCTGGCGAATGCGTTCGGAGGCTGCGGAAATCTGGTGGATCCAGCTGTGCCTCCGGTGCCTTCATCTCGACCACACCCATCACAACGTACACAATGCCGATCAATGCGCACGCCATCGGTGGRAAAAAGAGCCGCCAAAAAACTCCATTCCCGATCGCCTTTGTGTCCCTCCGCATCGTGTCGCTGTAGCTCTGGACGGCTTTCTCGCGTTGCTGCTGCTGGTGCTTGGAGAGGTATCCTTGTTTGTTGCCGCCAGCATCGCCGCTGTGACTAGTGTTGGCGTTGGATCTACGAAGTTTTTGGGACGCTACCATGTCGATTCAGTGTTGAATGATGTGTGGATGTGTGTATTCGTCAATAGATAGGTTCTCGTTGCATGACGGGCTCGGTAAGGTAATTTAGGATAGAATTCGTACTCGTATCACCCGGAATCAAAATTAGGTAGCGTTGATTCCTCAACAAGAAAGACGCCAGAAAACAAAACACCCGTGGTTCCCTTTCTTCTTTCTCGTTGTGTTTTGCTTTCGGGTTTCTGTAATCTTAAGAGGATATATGTATTTTTTGGTTCTTGGTCGTTTGTCCCACGCCTTCCAACCTTTTGGTTTTGATGCTAAAGAAGAAAATGCGCAACGGGTGGTATTCAGTCACTTGTGCTGTTACATTCGTTCGGTTGAAGGGAGGAAACAGGAAACAGATGACCGAGATGTGATGGTGAGTSCGGGCATTGAGGACAGTACGCAATACTTCTTACTTCATACTTTACGTATCATGATGTCCTACATGGGGGAAGTAAGCTACCATCCTTCTACAACCCACGAAATGTCGTAGGTTCACATTGTAGGTTCATACTTACGTACAAAGTCTACCACAGTTGATAACTTATGGTGTGATACAGAGACGTAGGTAGAAATAGTAGGAGTACGATTGCTTGTGTGAAGTTTATGATTTATGACCCCTGCCAGCGCGCCGTAGCCGATGARCGGTCGAAGAAAAAAGAGTACGTACTTCTACTTCGTACCTGTAACTCGTGAACTAAAACCAAAATCTCAGCTTCCCTTTACTTTCTCACATACCGGTACGAGTACGAGTTTTACATAAAAATATTTAAAATCTTTTCCCTCTCTCACACGAATTTCTCCAARTACGAATACTACGTCGTGAAACAGTGCGATTACGCCAAACGAACCAAAAAAAACTCACCAACTAACACAACACAACACGACACATTACTTGCACCCACCAACTTACGACGTGCCTCACGACAACTTCTAATAACACCACCTACAAGCATGACCGCCAAGGACGTGAACAACACCGGGGTCCAGACGGACGAAAAGAAACAGCACTTCGACGACATCTATGTCTGCGAGAACCCCGTTCCCTACAAAACCCGCATCCTYGATGCTATGAACTATGTCTCGGACGACTTCAACCGGGCCATGTTCGAGGAGCACATCGCCCCTTTCTTCGAGGCCGCCGCGTCCAAGAAGGACACCGTTGAGTACGTCGATCTCTGCGCCTGTTTTGGAAACACCACCATGGCCTGCCTCCACGGCATGTCCTACGACGAGATCCGCGAAAACTGGAAGGACGACGATTCCTGCAAGGCCATCGACAAGCCGCGGAGGACCCTCGGAGCCGAGAACGGCTGCCACGTGACGGCGATCGACATTTCCCCCCAGGCTATGGCCTACGGAAAGTCCGTGGGCCTCTACGACGARTCCTTTGTCTGYGATCTCAACAACCTTGAGGGGGAGGCCTTTGGCAGAGCAAAGGAGACCCTGGCGAAGGCCGACATCTTTCTCTCGACCGCGGCCCTGTGCTACCTCTCGGTCGAGGCCATCGAGGATCTGGTCGACGCCTTTTGCAGTGGAACGTCGAATCCGGACGGGATGATGCTGGTCAACTTTCTGAACCCGTTTTGTCTCGAGAAGTCGGATGCCACCAAGCGCATCCTTCTGTCCAAGCTCGACTTTGTGGCCAGCCGGGCGACCCGCCACCGCCGCATGTCGCAGCTCGAGATGGACAACTACCCCGGCGAGGAGTGGTCGCTCCTGGAGCTCTGGGTCCTCAAGAAGAAAGCGAACTAAGCAAAGGCCAAGCAAATCGAACCGKGCAGAACCTGTCGCGAAAGCAGGTGCTTTTGTCAGAGAGGGGAAGGTGCAGCTTGTGAATCAACCATTTTCGTGCGCACGGCGTCAAAAGGTTTGCAACGTCGACGCAGCGCGGATGGTTCTGGTTTCGGAAGAACAAAAGGATTTAATAAGCAATGCTGCGTTGTGCAGTGATTAGCAATCATTCCTGCTTTGCGGAACAATTTCAGAAGGAAAGCATACAGCTGCGTAGTAGATCGAAAAAAAATCAAAACCAATATTATCGCGTTTGCCTAGGCTAAACCGTTGGATGACAGACACAAATCGGGCAAGSATTGACACACCTCTGCCATTTCTGTTTCTATCCGAGGGCACTGTCTTCTTGTGTTSACACTATAGGATATTTTGTTGCAGGGGTGCTGTTCCCATGGCAATGATTCCTACTGTTCGGAATCTGCAGAACGTAGCACCGTGCCTTGCGAGGCAACCCCACCTGCCTCAATACAGTATGGGACGTGCCGTCGTGTTCCAGCGATTCCGGATGGGAGTGGGTCCATCACGCGTGGAGCTGCCAATCGTTTCGTCGAGTTTGTATGATATTTCCCTTGTTGCGTCCACAACCTATCGCTCTGCCAACCGAGCATTCGTTAGATGCACTATGGACGACCGGGAAGGATCTGCCCCCCCCCCCCTACCTCCGGTCTCGACGAGGACCCCACCGCACGGTGGAGTTGCCTGTGGCACACGAGTGGATGACATGGTAGTACACGACGCATTATCATTTTTTGTTTATCGGTTATGACTAATAYTAGAATGTTTGCTTCCCTATGGGAACCGAAGATAGTGTGAATGGAGTATGTGGCATTCTCTGTACCCGGCACAGGTAGTGACGGCCTTGGAATCGGCCGCATTGATGTCCTCCCGATTGCTCAAGACGGTTAGAGAGTGGACCGGAAACTCCGTAATGTTGGCACTTATTTCGGTTGGGGTCAACCGGCAGTTCCAGCTGTTGTCCAGTTTCCATAGTCTTGCGGCGTGTTTTGCCGCAAGCTGGAGGAAAGAGTACTGATCGGTCCCGGGTGTGCACGACCCCACRTGTGTTGCGTTGCAGGGCACAAAACGATCCAGCCAATCCCCCAGGATCGTCCTTACCCGCGGGGTGTTTCKGAGTGCCAAAACCCCCGTATTTGGCATCCACTCACCCAGAAACTCGGGAACTCCTTCGATTGCAACATCGCAGTCGTGAGAAACAGAAATCTCGTAGAGTTCCAGTGTCGAAAGGAGTTTTGTCCATGGTGCATTGGGATGTATGTACGTGTCGCCGTCCAATGCCACGGTACATTCGTTGGTGTCYTTGCCGTAGATCAGAGCTCCCGCCTGCAATGCACGRATTTTGTTCGAGTGGGGAATAAGCTCTTTCCCACTTAGATCGGGCAAGGGCAGTGCAAAAATATCTATCTTGTCCAACAGATCTCTGTGCATTGGGTCTATTGCTTCGCGGATGGTATCGTTTACTTTCTCGTCGATGATAACTCGTATTGTACCCGGGAAATTAGATTTCAATAGAGAACGGATTGAATGAAATAGTGTAATTCCTTCCTGTGATTCGASAGGTAAACCATAAAATATGTAAACTGCTGATGTACGGTTTGGATGACACGGAGGAAGAGGATACGGATCAACATTGACTTCTTTGTGTTGTGTTGTGGCTTCAATGCTGCGTTCGTATGCCTTGTCGGCTTCGAGTTCCTGAGTGAGCAGCTGCAGGTGCAAGGTGAGAATTCCTGCCCCAAAGCCCAGTATGAAGACGAAGAGATGATAGAGTTGATTCGCCATGGGAGCGGTCTCGGCCGCACTGTACGATACTTTCGGTGCCAATGTGTTGTTCGACCGCTGTACGATACTTTCGGTGCCAATGTGTTGTTCGACCGTACGAAATTGAAAGAGGATGTCCCAAGCTTCGGGAACGGTCGACCACAGGTGATTCAAAYCCGATTCTCGGTTTCAAAGAAAACCGACGGATCGCGTTTGATTCTAAGCACGAATTTTTTGGATTGCGACAAAGTTGCAACCCCTGTTGCTTGATGAAACAAAAGCCCCGCTCCCGAAAGGAACGCAAGAATACCACGGCTTGAGACAAGACCGCACCACACTATGGTTGAGCAATTCCGACTGGCTGAGACCAAACGCTTGGTTTTACGCAATCGCGGTTTAGAGGATACTTAAGTTACAATGACACGATTGCTTGAGATGTAGTTTAAGGAGGAGCGGTCGACGCTTGTCTAGCTAGAGTTTGTTTCGTGTCGTCACAGCTCAGTCATGTTTGATTTGATTTATTCGTTTTACCCACGATTCATACTAAAACTGAGGCACGAGATCCAAATTCCAACCCCAGTAACAAATAATACATCATATCTTTTGTATGTACGGTACATTAATATATTAATACAGTATATCAATGAAGTACCTTCCCTGTATCATGAGATACGTACCATACGTACGTAATTAAAGTAGCCTAGTTCCTACCAGGAGGTAGTTGAAGATCTTCCAAACCACAAACCGCAACCCCAAATCGTATGGTGCGTATTTACTTACTCTTGACGGTGACATTTACTCCGTTTTCGGCATTACGAAGTACTTGTACTCGTACTCGTACTTCGTACCAGGGCCAGTGGAGTCTTTCCATCCAACGGATCTTGATCGATTCTGATCGGAAAGATGTCACAAAGTCACAAAGAAACTCGATCTCGTGGGTGCTGTTTTGGGATTTTAGCTCAATGATAATCCTGCACGTGTACTCGTACTCGTACTCCTACTACAGTGTGCAACGTATTGGTCCTATATCGTACCCAATAAGAAGTACCGGTACCAGTACTCTACATTCCAACTGGTTCAGTGTCATTCCAACATACCGTTCCTTCAACATTGAGCATTGAACATTATTTGTTCCGACATYACAATTGCTACCGAAGGTTCCCTAACTAGCACGCTGTCCAATCTCGAATCCAATCCGATCCAATCCGATCCGAATCCGAATCCGAATCGACCATGGCAACGCCAAAAAAGAAAGCTGTATCCGCTTGGTGGATCTCGGCGTTGATCCTCGCGGCAACGACGGAAACGTCGGAAGCCTGGACGGCAGCGATTCCGGCCACGGCGACCCGCCTTCCGGGCCCCCGCTGCSCCCGATCTCCAGTTCTCACCACGGCATTGTTTGCCAAAAAGAAAAACAAGAAAAAGGGGGGCGACGCCACCGCCTCTTCCAAGATGCAGGTCAAGCTCCTCCAGCACATCCCCGGAACCGGGCAGGCGGGAGACGTGATCATGGTCAGCCCCGTCTTCTTTTCCAACAAGCTTCGGCCCCAGAAACTGGCGCGGAAAATCACCGACGAGGAGGTGCAGAAGGACCTGGAGGAAAAACAGGAGAAATCGGCAGCTCTACAGGCGGAGGCGAGGGCYCTCAAGGAACTGATCGACGACGAGGGACCGGCGCCGTCGTTTTTCCTGGAGTTTGCCGACAACCAAACGGGTCCCGACGGGAAGAAACTCTTTGGCGGCATCGGTCCCAAGAAACTGATGGATGCCCTCCGCACCAGCTGCAAGGAATTCGATTCGTATTCGAAAAAGTTCACCAAGCAGGTGTCCATCACCGACATCGAAGAGCGGGAAGAGGTGGAAAGAGAAACCGCCGCGGAGCCGGRGGCCGCGGGTGCGTACAAGGACTACTCAAAGCCGGATTCGCTCGAGAACGCCGAAACAGAGAAAGAGATATCCGTCTCGTATTCCTCGCTGCCAAAGAAAGACAAAATGACCATCAAGAACACCGGGATCTTTCGAATGAAGATCTCGCTGACCAAKGATTTGTTCGTCAAGGTGAAGGTCGTTGTGTCGTGAAAGAAAAACCAATTTATCGATCCAATAGTCGACTCGCAATGAATCGATCGAAACAAGATCGAAAAAAATAGATGGGAGAGGAGATAATGGCAATTTGTCTTGCGACTCCGTAGCGTTCGCATTGCCCAAACCGGAAAGGAGAGTCGATACCTCGAACGCCGYGGAGCCAATCAAGTGAACGACATTCGTCGCCACCAACAGACTGTTCTTTCTCTCACGATGCCTGCATTTCCAGCTTCGTTCGCCGCCGCAACTAACTTTAACAATTACTTAGTAATAAGCCATGCGACATTCCTTCGCAAATCTGYGCARAACCCACCTCGAACATTAGACAGCAATGTGTACTTCGGTTCTGGCGTGACCGGGTAGTATTCGGTATTGGACATCGGGCATCAATAGATTTGTTTGCTAARCATGGAATGAATAGAACAGATTTCTTTCGCGCGTCTGCCAGTAACAAAAGAGAAGGAAAACAACATGGTAKCAAAAATGCTTGTTTTGTACACCCAACTCTCCATGGCTAGTAGCTACGAAACAGTACTTCAAATTTCGCTTCCACTTTACTACGCGGATAGCAATCCTTGCAGATCATAACGAATCAATGAGGACAAAAGGAAACTCGTTTCAAATGGCCTAGATGGTCTCGATTGCACCTGTGAGAGAAGGGAGGAAAAGTATCAGCTTTTAGAAGCTGAGGCGAAATATTTGGCTTTGAACAAGATTGAGAGAAGCAAAAGCGAAACCAAGTATTGAATCAGACAGAATCGTGTGCAGATATGCTTCATCGCTGGCTTCTACATCCAGAGTTCTTAAACTACAAATTCAGTCCAAAAGATTGCTAAATGGAACAATCAGTTTCCATTGGTGCCCTCGCGAACAGCCCACTACAAGCTTGGTATCARTKGGGACTGATGCCACTTYCTTATTGMATATMGAAGTCAATGCAAATTAACAATACTGCGGCGTGCATTGTAGAAAATAGTGTTTCGTTTGATTGTTTATTCGATTCCATCCTATTGTTTTCTAGAGGGAAACATTATGTTTGCRACGCCAAAACGCAGCCTTTCGTTRTGGAAGAAGCTTTGGAAGATAACAGCACRCTAAAACATAACAATGGCGCTGCAGTAAAATCGACATTGGAGTTTGTTGCCGGGCAGCGAACGTCCGGCCSAAGCCGCAGGAAACACGATCAAACTGCAGCCGCGTCGGTGGTTYTGGGAGTGCTCTTGCACGATGCCGCAGACCCGCCGTCTTCCTTCCGTTGCGGACAGATTTTAGAATCGTCCAGTTTACCTCCAATCGCTGAATTCTACCTCCAATGAAAAATCTTTGTAAATGACAATGCGCAGGTAGAGCTGATTGACCAGGAGCAAAAAGGCCCAGACGCGGTCGACGATCCGGGTCCGCTGCACGGGCCAGTCGTGGTTCTCGATGAGGACCTTCATCGCGGCGCTCTCCAGGACAATRTACAAGATGCTAAAAAAGAAGGAATTCAGGAGCTTCTGCATCTTGATCTCGTACCCCACCGTCGGCAACCGGGCGTCCAGCGAGGTTCGCAGGCCGACCTCGACAAACGCAATGTTGAGGCAGAGGAGGCCCCGCTGGAAAAAGTTGTTGGCGTCCAAGCTCACCAGAATGGAGATCGAGACGAGATTGAGAATGTCCAGCAGCGGCATAATGTTGCGGTCGTAGTAGGCCGAGTTGCGCTTGACACGGATCTTGGTCTTGACGCAAAACTCCTGGTCTTGGGCCCGGTGGTGGTGGTAGCTCTGCTTGTTGTTGCTGTTGTTGTTCCATCCGGCCGCTGCGTTCGAGTGGCCAAACTCGATCGGCGCCATCTCGAACTCCAGGCCGCGGTCCGAGATCCGAAAGCCGGGCACCGCCACGTGGTCCACCAGGACGCCAAAGGGGACCCTTACGCTCCCCTGGGTGTCGCTTTCGTTGGCCAGGCCGAGCTTCCACTTCCGGCGGTCCCACCTGCCACCGGGCTGGCGCTGCGAAAGTATTCCTAGCTTGAGGACGAGGTCGTGGGAATCGTGGGGGAACTGCGCCACGTTCATGCTTTCCTGCATGAGGCGGGCCCGGTACATGCAAGAGAAGCGCATCAGACGGGACTTGCGGCGCAGCAGGGTCACGTCCGGCTTGCCAACGGTTTCAAAGGTTTCGGCGTTGATGATAGAGATCGGTGGGACGTCTATGGTTTCCTTCTCAAAGTCATTGTTGCCGCCGCTGGAAATGTTGATGTTCCCGCGCGGGATTGCCGAAGCACCCGGGGCGTTTGTGTTTATTGCGTTGGAAAAGCTCGTGCTCCGGCTTCTCCGGATCGCCTTGCGCCTGCCGTCCATTTCCCAGAAGTAGTCCTCCTGTTCGCCGGCATCGTTGCCGATGACGTTGGTTCCGTTGTTGTTGCTCGCGTAACCGCTKGCGGGTTCCTTGGCTGCTCCGGGAGCATCCATGCTGGGGACGTCGCCGTAGCTGCTGCTGGCATTCGAATTCGATCGCGACCGACCCGTCGCCAGCGATGGAGCAATCAAGTTTCGCGGGGGCGGATCGTTCCAGAACAGGGTCACTCGGAACATGATCGTAACGGTGTGGCTCTTTACGTCGGGTATTCCGACGCTCCACACAATGACCTGGTGCCGGATGGTGTGTTTCTGATCCAGGTCGAGGCTGTTGTAGGAACTCAGCCTCTGAAAGGAGGGAAAGGGAGATCCACCCAGGGATCGAGCCTCGTGGTTCTCTAGGTTGAGATCGAGAAACTGGGTCTGCGCCTGTTCCCCCAGCCACGATATTTGGTCGACAAAGGACTCCCCCCTACGCATCCTTGGTCGTTGTTGTTCCGATTGCATAGCAATCGTCCTCAGTTCTATTTAGTTGATGTTGTTTTTGGTGGTGGTGGTGGTAGTAGTTTTCGTTGTCGTAACTGTAGTAGCAGTGGTGGTGGTGGTGGCTGTTTTTGTTGTTGCTGATGTTTTGGGATTTTGGTCCAGCACAACTACCTACCAGCGAATTTCTCTTTATTCTCTTTACTGCCGAACAATGCGATGCAAGTGTCGATTCAAAAAAAGCGCCCTAAAGCAGGTTGGTCCTTATCATCATGAAGACGACGGTGTTGCTTGCACTTCGTTGTTTGAGCGTACAGGATGCGGGGCGCACACACGGAGCAGCACAACGAACGAACCAAGTTCCGTTTCGGATTCGAGTTCAAGTCCAAATTCAAATCCAAATTCGAACGGCAAAGATCAAACCCTGATCAGCGCTCGATGCTACGAGTTATCTGCAATAATCTGTGCTCCTACTTGTTATTGGGAAGCAGCGGAGGTTGGGAACTCTGACTCGCGTGTGTTGAGCAGTATCTTGCGCAGGCAGTATCTTGTGCTTTACAATATGTTGTACGAGTCCGAGTGCTCTTAATGGCACTCTGGTAGTGCTACAGTATGTGGCTATAAGTATTATGTTGTGTCTGTCGTGTCGTGGAGAAGACAAGATGTTCGATACCGTACGGTAAGGTAACGTACGACACTYGTACTCGTTGGGTTGTGTTTTTTTGTGCATGACTGATTACAGTACTACTTTTACAGGACTTGGTATTGCACCATAAAACGAGTCTCCAACGCCCAATCATAATCAATCAATCAATCATCAATCAGTGTTCACAAATCCAAAGATCTCGCGCAACCCAAAAACAGATGACGCATTTTTTTCTGATACTGTAGATATTTATGCATTTACCTCATTTTCTGTCTTCCTAAAAAGAAAAAAGTATGGCAGGAGCGCTTCCAATATCCTGCAACGCAAACCGTAACATACCGGTACGGCCGTACCCGTACTCGTACTCGTACTCGTAGGAACGTAACCTTACAAACCAACGCTATTTGGCAGTATTTGAAGTTTTTCGAAGGAAGCAGCAGAATTCTTGTGTAAATTCTGATGAAAAGATTTTTTGACACGTAATCGTAACAATCGCAGCAACACAGTACAAGTAGTAGTATGATACAGTACCGAATCTGATGCGGAACAAATATTTAGTCGATGCCGGTAGGTTTCTTCACAAGGGGTCACTGTTCACTAATACATTACGGCAAATACTCACACTCGTACGACTACCGACCGTATCGAGATCCACACCGGAAGACTCAGCACCGTACGCACGAGAGCTCGTTCTCTGAATCGCACTTCGAACGAAAACCTGTCTGAAAAACCGAGTCAGAACCCCYGGCACGAAACTCCTCTGAATCAAKACAGTGATATTGATCCCCTKGCCCCGATCAAAAGAACAAGGGTCCGCAACCTCCGTTTTGTCTATCGGATTGGCAGCACGAGCAAGTGCCACARCGGGAAGGTTTCTCGACACCCAGCGTTTTGTCTCCACTCCACACGAACAACCAMMCGCAGGGATCCACAAGAACAGCACTWACGACACCGCCAATCTTGAGCGATAGAAAGGCCAGYATCGAAGAGAGTCGAATCGAACCATTACCTACGAACCAAAAATAGCAATGCCCCCTGTGAAACTGGAAAAGTACATGATCGAGAAAGACAGTATAATTTGACGAATCGAATACGCACACGCAGAAACATACAAATACACACAGGGCATGGGGCATAGGATGCAGGCAGGGACCTCGAACCAAAGTCCCAAGATGGCGACGAGACGACCAACCGCCAAACGAACAACCACTCGAACACGTAGGCGCTCCTCGGAGTTGTGGTGGAGGGCAGCGTGGATCATTCTGGCAACGGCGACGACGGCTGCAGCATTCCCACCCGTTCCGAATCGGCCTGCCTCTGCCACCGCTGCCTTTGTCGCGGGAACCCGCCCAACGTCACGTTCCACCGGAAACGGACCACCGCAACTTGTTCCCCCGCGAACGAGAACCCCTCCCCGAGAATCCCACCCGGGGTGGCAACGGCCCCACAGCGAACCACGGAAACCACCGGACCGCCCCCCCTGCCTCTTGCGCAGCTACCGAAGCGATGCCCACGAGACGACTGTGAGCAAGGCGACCGAGCGTTTGCCACCAAACCCCCCGGGACTTGCCGAGAAGAGGCTGCTTGGTGCCGCGCTGCTGGCCGCCACCATTGGGCTCTCGGCGGCGTTTCCGCTCCCGGCCCACGCCGGTTTTGGACCCTCCAGCGGGGCCACCACCACGCCCCCGCCCAACCTCAACAGCATCTCCGCCAACGCCCGCAAGGTGACGTCTCCGGAGAAGGCACCGACCGAATCTTTCAACGTCGATCTGGACGGGAAAAAACTCAAGATCCTCATCGATTCTGCCCTCGACTCGCGGAGGCTAGAGGAGTTCTCGGGGCAGCTCGACGCCGTCATCGACAGCCTCAAGGAGTCCATCTCGGAGTCCCTCGCGGCGGCAATACAGGCTTCGGAGGAGGACGGAACCGGAGCCGGTCTTCCGGAGGGTGCCGCGAGAGACAGCGACAATRCTTTTTCCTCCGCCCCTAGCGAAGAGCAACGAAGGGCCCGGAACGCGGAGCGGGAGCGAGAGCTGCTGCAGGCGCAGGTCCTAAGGGAGGAAGTCCTGAAGCAGGAACAGATCATTGCAAGGCTACAGAGGCAGCCCTACTGGTTCAACTATTTTGCCGCCTTTGTCGGATCTACGGTGAGCACCCTCATCATGCACCCGATCGATACCATCAAGACACGGTTGCAGGTCGGTCTCGGGGAGGACGAAGCTGACGACAATGACGAACATGAACACGAATCATGCGGGCCATTGCCACCGGACCGCCATGACAATCTCTCCCGTCAAAACAGCGGTGCGGAACCCCTTGGTGCTGCCTCGCAATCGCTGCAAGCGTCGCGATCGAACGGACGTGCGAGCTCAGACGCAAATGCAGCCACAGACACAAACGCTTCGAACGGAGAAGATCACTGTAGCGTCACCGAAAAAGGCCGCTCGGCATTCTCATCGGATACGGGCCTAGTGGCTGCTCCCACGGTCCTGGTAGCGGATGCGGATGCCGCAAACCAAACGGAGACTTTCGAATGCGACGGCACGGATCCGATGCACACAAACCATGGGGGCCGGCCATACGTCACGAAACCACCATTGACCAGCGGCAACCCGTTGCTCTTCGAGAACCTCTACGAGGGACTTACCGGCAAYCTCTTCAAGGAGGTACCCCCCTCGGCGGTCTACCTAGGGGTTTACGAAACCGTCAAGTACGCCCTGACTCCAATGGTCACGAACCCGGCCTATCTGCTTTGGGTGTACCTCGTAGCCGGATCGGCCGGAGAGGTTGTCGGGAGCATCATCCGGGCCCCGGCCGAAGCAGTCAAGAGCCTGGTCCAGTCCAAGGCCCACAACAGCACCCTGGACGCCGCCAGGAGCGTCCTTCTGGACCCGAGCGGGAGGCAGAACGTGGTCCGGGCGTGGAGCGCCAGCATCAGCCGGGACGTCCCCTTTGGGGGCATCCAGCTAGCGGTCTTTGAGACCATCAAGGCCGCCATCCTAAATAACCCGAACATCGAGATCGACTCCTCGACCCTCCTGGCGGAGGCGATCATCGGGGCAGTGGCGGGCGGGATCGGGGCCCTGGTCACGGCCCCGGCCGACGTGATCACGACGCGAATCATCACGCAGGACACGGGCGACGGAACGGTTGTTACCACCGCAGACGGAGCCACAAACGCAAACACAAACGGAACCGCTCCCATGGGCGTTCTGGAAATGGGCAAGACCATCTACGAGGAGGAAGGCATCGGTGCCTTTTTCGTGGGCTGGCAGGCCCGGGTGGGATACTGGGCCCCGGCGATTGGGATTTTCCTGTCGTGCTACTGCTCGGTGCGGCAAGCCGGGCTCACGTACGATTTGTTTCCGTAGCCTTGTGCATCACGGAGTGTCCCGGATTGGCACGGAATTGCCTGCCAGCGAACCTCAYCCACACACACATCCTTGGCGAACAGAGAGTTGTGAACGATTCGACACCAGAACGAAAAATTGCTTCTCTAATCCCAATCCACGAACCCAAAGATGCCTGGACTGTGCGGCCTTAGGTGCATAGTTGTAGTATTTTGCGACGGCCCAAAACCACCATTCTTTGACCGGGATGATCAGCAGGTGTTCGACAGTGACAACAAACCCAGGCGGGCACAAAATGAACCGAACTTTGGCTTGTAGAAAAGAAGAACTATGACGCAAACGCAAACGTAACTAGCCCACAATGCTTGCTTGCTTTTATTTTTATCATATTTCATTTCACTTTAGTTGATTCCATCTTATTTTTCGCCGTAGACATCCCACAACTCGGTTTCCTTCGGACCGGCACCGTTCAAAACATTTGTGAAGCCGTTGGATTCCAAGAAGTCCTTGGCCTTTTGGCCTCGGCCGCCCCCACCGCAATGTGTGATGAGCGGCGTATCCTTTTCCACCGATGGGAGCGGCATGGAGTCGGACTCGCGGTCCCAGATCAGGTGCAGTCCGCACGGGCGGACTCCGCTGGAAGCATCGGGGACTGGAGCGACTGCGAGTGATTTCTGGTCRCCRGGCTCCTTGTCGGCGTCGGGATTGCGGACGTCGATGACGACGAGCTTRTCACCGGCGGCCTCGACGTGGGATTTCAGTTCCTCGAGGGTGGCTACCCCGGGTTTTGGTGCCATGTTCAGAACGAYTCCGCTTCGGAACGATCGAGAAGCAGCTCGACTAGCGGTGATGAAGGAGGATCTTGTMGCAAAKGCGCTGGCTAATTTGCTGCTGAGCATAATAAGGCTTGTCGCTAAAGCAAGGAAATGGACAACTCGTACTCGTAGACGCTTTTGTTGCAACGGCATCATCGTTATATTTCGTACTGAGGTTTAGTGTYAAAGTATTTTTTGATTTCTTACATWAGTTTTTTGTGTAGTAAACACGTTTAGTTCGTCGAGAAGCTTCAGKGTGTTYGTACGCGTTGTAYSGTGCCTACCGATAGGCATATTTCATTGGGGGTGTGACGTCGTAGATGSGAGATTCGAGAAGATTCATTCGAAACTATTGTACCGTACTTCCTACCACAGGTRTTTCAAAAGCCCGTTGTGGACGTTTCATKACGAATTCGTTAATTTGGAGTTAGGGATRATACCAATATTTGGTACCAGCAGTAAGAATCAAGCAATCTGATTGACTGAYTTTGTGAATGACTGGCTTGACAAATAAAGTTCTTTGTTCCTCCTCTTGKTGG